AAATTAAATTTTCATCACACCCTTTTAATTAAAAATTGCAAGTAACAAATTTTAGATGTAACTAACTCATTTAATCCTTCTAAGTACTCTAAGAAGGAAGTTATCTTATTCCTATTTTACAGATGAAAACTATTAGGTATAGAGAGGTTAACTCACACAGTATCCCCCAGCAAGTAAGACTCCTAGCCTGCACTGGAACCCAGACAGCCAAGCTCCACAGTTGTGCTCTTAACAACTATGATCTATGGCCTCTCTCAGAAACTGCTTGATGGCACCAGACAAACATGTGATAAGTTAAAACAGTGATAAACAATCAAGTATCCAAAACAATAATAGGAAAAACGGCACAAAGCAGCATTTATTCCTTATTCAACAACTATTTATAGAGGATATACCACATGCCAGGTGCTCCGGAGATGATGACACATGAACCAGACAAGGTTCATGCAGGTTGCCTTCATGCAGCCAGAGCCCAGTGGGGAAATAGCCCAGCATCAAATAAAGACGATTATGACATGCATGATGGTAAGTGTGTAGGACTGCTGTTCACATCCAGAGGAGGAGAGCAGGTCGGGGTCAGGGGTAATAGGATATAAAATTTGAACTGTTCCTTGACTAGCATTGGGATTTGCAAGGACAGAAAGGAAAAGAGAGGGCTTTTGAAATGGCTGATGGCATGGCATCCATTCAAAAGGCCGCTACTGTGCACCTACTCCATGCCAAAAATAAGGCTAAGCACAAAAGTTCCAAACTAGGTAAAATCCATTTAAACCAACAGAGGATTTCTTGTTAAGAGAATAAGAAGGACAATTGGGGTAGTAGGCCTATGTCCTATCATGTAGAGAAGGCAATGGCAACCCACTCCAGTACTCTTGCCTGGAGAATCCCAGGGACGGCGGAGCCTGGTGGGCTGCTGTCTATGGGGTCGCACACAGTCAGACACGACTGAAGCGACTTAGCAGCAGCAGCAGTAGCAGTTCTATCATGGCGAATCCTTGAGTGTTAAGTTGAGGAGCTGGAATTTGACCCTGCAGGAGTCACTGAAGGTTATTTGGCAGGTTTCTGCTTCACAATATTCAGATTTATCCTATGGAATGTCAATGACTATCTGCATTCTTATTTGGGGCCAATTAGACCTCCAAGCTGGATTGCCTTCAAGCAAGAGCTCAGGGCAACAAAATAAATACCAAGTGTAAATTCATTTAATCCTCAAGGAAGAGAGAAAACTCTAATCTCTCAAAGAACAAAGGTAGGCAATTTGAAAACATTGGAGAAGGCCTTCTCCCACAGAGTCCAAAATTCTGTTCTGTACATCTGTGTCTCTTTTTCTGTTTTGCATATAGGGTTATCGTTACCATCTTTCTAAATTCCATATACATGCATTAGTATACTGTATTGGTCTTTATCTTTCTGGCTTACTTCACAACAGCTAAAGGAAAGTGGCAAGCTCCTCTTAAAATCCCAAAGGCCATTGCTAAAACCTAAGTTATTTCTTCACATGCAAATGAAATTTCCAACCTTCCAAAGTATATTTCCATGAGAAAAAAAAATTTTACAATTCTTTATTTTACTATATTTCTTTATTTGGCTGTGTCCTGGGTGGCACAGTGGTGAAGAATCCGCCTGCCAATGTAGAGGATGCAAGGGTTCAATTCCTGGGTTGAGAAGATCTCTTGGGGTAAGAAATGGCAACCCACTCCAGTATCCTTGCCCAGAAAATTCTATGGGCAGAGGAGCCTGGCAGGCTACAGTCCACGGGGTCACAAAGGGTAGGACATGACTAAGCGTGGGTGTGCGCGCGCGCGCGCACACACACACACACACAAACACTGGGTCTTAGTTGCAGCATATGGGGTCTAGTTCCCTAACCAGAGATCAAACCCAGGCCTCCAGCAGTGGGAGCACAGGGTCTTAGCCACTGAGTCATCAGGGAAGTCCCAAACAAATTCTTAAGTTGAACGATGATCTGATCTTTAATGAGGCTGGTGACAACTTACCACAGGGCTCTGGTGGACAATGTGACAGTACAAACTCAATTGCTTTATAACTTACTCACCTTGGAGTTCCCATCCCCTTACTCCCTTATCTAAGCAGAGAGAAAGAAGTCAATTACCTATTTTATACATATCAGAGATTTTCATTCTCTTAAACAATTGAGTAGCTAAGATATTCTATTTACCCTCTGCAAAACAAATTTTATTTACATCCACTAATTTTTTTTTCAGTCATTGACCTTCCACAGAAAAGTAGGTAACAAAGACTCTCCAATGGTTTCCCGCTATTTTTGAGAATCAAATTATTTCTCAGACTCTGTAGGCCCTGCATTACCTATTACTGACTCCTTCCAGGCTCCCTAACTCCTTTAAAGCTCACTAGGTTCCATCCATCCTGGCTTGTTTTCTGTTCTTCAAATATCTCAAGTTTGTTTTTCTGCCTCAAGGTCTTGGCTCTTACTCTTCTCTCAGCTCTTGATGAGGTAAGCTGACAAGGTAAGAACGATCTCTCTTCTTTCACATCTTTGTCCAAAGGTCACCTTTGGAAAGGGTGGCCTTTCCAAACCACCCTTGCTAAAAAGGCCCTTCCCAGTTCTCCATCTCATAGTATTTCCACCATTGTTCTCACTACCGTCTATAAGGATCTTCATTTGTTTCCTTACCTACTGTCCATACTCTCTGGTGGAATATAGTCTCTGTGAGACTCCAGAAGATCAAGGATTACACCTCTTATAATTTACCATTGTGGCTAGCACAGGGCCTGGCAAATAGAAGGTTCCCAACAGATTTTGTAAAATAAATTAAATGAATGAAGAATATATTTAAGAGCTGACTGCTATGAATGTCAGTAACTTGAGAAAACCTTTTCATCTAATTTTGAGATGTTTTCTCTAGAGTTGTTCATTTTTCAAAATTCTTTCTACATTTTTTTGTGAGATCTGAGGATACCTGACAAGTAGTTGTGCTAGTTCACGGCAAGAAAAATATTCCAGTTCCAACCAATGGATTTAAGAGATAATACTTCAAGGAGATTGTAGCAGTTTATTAAACATCAATAAAATCAAACAATTAAAAAAAATTGGTTAGTCTCATTTCACTAACGTAAGTCAAATTACATGAAGAAAAGTAATTTAAAATGTAAAGAAATGAAAAAGAGAATTCAGCAGCAAAGTGCAATTATGTTCAATTATGTTTACTAACATCGGAAATATCCAGTTTGATAACTCCTGGATGTACCAGGTGGATTATCAAACACATTCTGAGTAAGAGTCTAAAGATTCAGAGCAAAATGCCTAAGACAAACTCATATCCACCTTTATTTTTTTCTGGCAAACATAAATAGTTCATATTAGGGCAATATTAGCTTAGACTTAGTAATAATTACAAAAGGAAAAAAAAATGACATAGTAACATAAACTCTTTTCTTTGAAACAGTTGGCACGTTTGTATATCTTTCCAGAAAGGGTTGCCATGAAAATTACAGATTTAGAAGGGTAGGCCTATTGGTATAAATCCCCTTTCCCAAGTATATCCATTTTTCAAAAAAACTAAAGAGAAGTCAGAAATTTACCAAATGAATGAGGGAAATTACAGATCAACTGAAAGCCATATAACTAAACTGATGATCAGTTAATATTTATATTAACTTTAATATAAATATTCTTTAATATTCTTGTGAAAACCACTTTCCTCAGAGCATCACCATAAACTCGATACTGTCACACCACCCTTTCTTAAAAGGTGCTTATAAAAATGGCAGATTAAAAGCACTGGGAATTTGAGGCTCTTATTTATCTGTTTTAAAGATACACCATTTGATGTTGCAGCAGAAACAACATGCATTGTCTCATGGCCAAAAAAAATGCTCCCAGGACAGTGAAATTTAGCTGTCACCTTCATTCACAACTTGGTTTTTTCTGAGATGATTGCCAATTAGTGCACACTGTGTCAATGACAACACCTGGTCACACATCAAGTAAACAATTCTATCACTGTTAAATGTAAGGCGATTAATTTTAAAAATGCAGACAAGGAAGCTAATATTTTTAAATGTAAAATGATGTCATAACCATAACTACTTAATGGATTATTTCATTTTTCTCAGTTTTCAAACTTCAACACTGGATACAGCCCATTTCCAGGAACACAGCCGCCAAGGTCGGCCTGTGCTAGTTCACTGTATCTGCCTCCACGTCCAGCTTCTTCATTCAATTTTCTTCACGAGCTAATTAGAGCATGGAAGTGAGTAAACGAACCTCAGTATGGGAGCACGGGGAGAAGGCGATAGGCTGGTGCTGTGTGAAACTGACTTCAGCAAACAGAAATGTCGTCCCTTTGACATGGTTTTTAAATTCTGCTTCTTGAGGGTACATACAAATATGTGATCTGCAGTAAGAAATTGTGGCTTCTTAAAAAAAAAAAAAAAGCCAGGGACCCTCCCAACAGAGTCAGTTTTTAAACCCTAGAGTCTTGTCAGTTCCAATTCAGTGGGTTTGGTAGCCAGCTTAGGCTAACTTGAGTGACTTTATCCCAAACTACTAGTCCTCTGACAACACCGAAACGCTGAACACGCCAGCTTGCAGGAGAAATGGAGCCAAGCATCAAGGTCCCTCCCACTGTCTCTCTCTACGGCCTGCTTGGCAGCGTGGGAAGAATCAGACGGAGGACCATGTGCTAGGATTAAAGACAAACATACATACATCCATTCTCAGTGCTTGTGGTTCTTGGACTAAGTTACTGAACACTAGGGAAAAAACAAACTTGCCAGTTCTTTAGATAATGTTTACTAAAGGCTCGTTCCCATCACTCTCAGTACACCGTACAGTAGACTGGAAGCTTCCAAGAAAATCATTAGCGAACTGTGATTAATCCAAAGCAGCCGAGACTTTTCAGAGATGAAGACGCTCAAAGCAGTGTTAAAAGCTTCGAGGAAAAGAGGAGGGTGCTCCTGACTCGGGAGCCAGCAGCGAAGCCTCCCAAGTTAGAAGATTCGGAGGGAGGGATGGATTAGGAGCCACAAAGCAGAAACTGTGGGAAGGCAAGAGACAGCGGGGCCCGCGGCGGGCAGAGAGACCCCAGAGCGTCAAGGGCAGCGACAGCCCCGGAGGAGGAGATCTTAGAGGGGTAACAAAGAAGGAAAGGAAAACTAGGCGCAGTGGTCCTCCAAGAACCCAGGCGACGGGCGGAGCCAGCGAGTCGGTGAGGGAGCGATGAGAGGTGCGGGCAGGAGGGCGTACACCCGCAAGTGAGAGAAAACGGGTTGTGGGGACGGAGGGAGGGCGTGCAAGGAACGGAGGTAACCCCCTGTCCGCCTGCAGGTCGCAACTCCAGACCGCGCGCCGCCTGGCCCCGCCGGGTCCCCGGAGCGCGAAGGCGGCCGAGGGAGCCGCTGCCACGCCAGGACCCTGCCTCACCTTGTTTGCCGCGTCCCGGCGTCCCGCCGCCCGTCCGCCTGCCGCTGCGCTCCGAGGGCCGACCAGCGAGTCGCGCGCGGCGCAGCCGGGGCTCCGTCCTGCGGCGAGGCAGCGGCCCCCAGTCCTCCGCACCCGCTCGCTCGCCCCGGTCACTTCGCCTCGCTCTCCGGTAGGCGGAGAGCACGGACCCTACCTCGAACGCCGCTCCGCTGATTTGAAACGCTCCGTCCCCAGGGTTCCCCGGAATAGGAGCGGCGCTGCTGCGGCCGCAGCGGCGGGGCCTCCGCCTGACCTCACCGGGGGAGGGGGGCGGGGGGGCGGGGGGCGGGCAGTAGGGGGAGGGGGGAGGGGGCGGGAGCCCAGCTGAGGAGGGGAGGGGGAGGGAGCGCGCGGGCGGGGGCAACATGGCGGCGGGGGCGGCCCCGGCGGCGCCTGCGCGGGAGGCGGGGGAGCTGGGGTAGGACCCAGTGTAGGGTCCGAGCGCAACTCCGCGGCCGCCCGCTGCGTGGCGAGGAGGGGCGGGAGGCGGGCGGGCCGCGCAGTGGCCCCCACGCCTCCGAAACCAGGACACTCGGCTTAGAGCACACACGGCCCCTGGGGCCCAAGACAGAAGAGGTGAAAACTGTCACCCGCCAGGAGGAGCGCCCCCGCCCCGAGCCTCCTGCCCGCGCTTGTCGCGGCCCCTCGTGGTCGCTGAGGGCCCGGGCGCAAGGTGTCCGCTCCCGCCGCTTCACCTCGGTGGGGCGCGCACCTCAGAAGGAGCCTGACCCGGGATGTCACGCAACTACTGTTCATCCCTCTTCAGATGCGCTTCATCTTTTCCCCCCGCGGGAGGTACAGACGATTAAGAAAGAAGAACATATACGACACTTTACCCAGCGTCTGCTAAGCACCCAGCGCTGAATTACGAACGCACTGAACTCTCACACCTACTCCGCAAGGTCCACAGGTAGTGTTGTCTCCATTTCACAACTGCCCAGACTGAGGTGTCAAAGTCAAATTATTACTTGCCCAAGGTTACATAATTGGTAAGGGGCAGAACAGGGCCCAGGATCCCAAGCAGCGTGATTCCAGCGCCCAGGTTCTTAACCGCTGTGCCACGCTCTTTCCAAACTGGTAGAGCTGCTATTCTGAGTCCCAGTCTTGACTCTCTCCCCGCAGTTCTGCCAGCCAAGCCCCCAACAAAAACCCCAGTCAAGCCTGTTTTTCCCCCTTGCAGGTCTTCTATTCATTCTTTGCCTTCTTGACGGTTGTAGCCTGGGGCCACCTTCTTACACTTCTTCCTTTGCCTTTTCTTCTTATAATTTCAGACTTCTCCTCAGAAAAATAATGGGAGCGTGCTGTTAGCAACCAGTTCACTCACTGTTTTTTATGGAAAGGGATGGGGTGGGTGTGGGACGGTAGTTCTTTATGTTTTCTAATATTTCTCTTTGCCTACCAGTAAACTAGCCAGGTGTCTGAGAGCTTAACGTTGCTGAGTTGGTATTTCAAATTCCCTCCACTAAAATTCTAGTAGTGCGTTTTAAGTAACTTTGAAATAATCAGTTACTCAAAAACTGGCAAGAACTAAAGCTATCACCACATTGTTATACTTTACCATACTGGTAAAAAGAAAGAGAGAACTCCAAATGCACGTGGAATTTATATTCTCTTTTACCTGCCCGTCAGTGGATTCAACACAATGCATCTTTGTTAACAGGCATGCATGCATTCATTGGTTTCTCCACCATGCTTATTTAATAATTATCACCGTATACCTATGTTACACACAAAATGCCTGTTAGGTAGAAAGCACCTGTTAGGAGAGTTTACAGTCTCATTGATGCGATGTGTTTAAAGCAATTGATTTCAGTGTGTATGAAAAATCTGGCGCGTTAAGTTAAAAATAAACAAGTAAATACAACAGAATGAAATACATCCAAGATACTGCTTCATCCCAGCCATAAAAAGGTTTAAGTGGGGTAGTTTTACAATACGTTTTCAAACAGAAATAATGGGAAAATAGGGTAATCACGTGTGGCCATAGCCTCCCCAATTCACACTATGAGAATACCTTCCAGATACATAGCAAGGATGGGGGCAGTTATAGAATCTGCATTTGAACAATAGGATAGGAATAAGATAGATTACAAATAGACTTATCTGATAGGAATTAGTTGCTGTTTGGGTTAGAATGGTTTGAATAGTTAATCTAGCAGACAGAGCACCCTGATTTGGAGTTAGAAGACATGAGCTATGTTACCTTAACACCACCATTTCTCTTGAGTGCGTCTTCCTGAATTTAGAGTGGGGTGATGAAGATATTGGACTGATCTGCCTCATAGCATTGTTCCAGGTTTCAAAAAAAAAAAAAAGTCATGTGAAAGTACCTTGTAAACTTATAAAAATTATGTATAAAATGTAAGACAATGTTTTTCTTAGACTGATTGGCCACTAAAAGCTAGGGATGTAATTATGAAAGATGTCACAAGTTACCCTGTAGCCAAAAATGTCAAGAATTAGACAAAGAGTTTGTAATAAAATAGGACAAACTCTGAAGAATGGGGAGATGTAACAGAGGTTCAAGAAATAAGAAAACAACTGAAAACAAAATAATAATGGTGAAAAGAATGCTGAAAATGGTGATGGCTATTGTGTGCTGAGGGCTTCCCCTGTGGCTCAGCGGTAAAGAACCTGCCTGCAATGCAGGGGACGAGGGTTCGATCCCTGGGTTGGGAAGATCCCCTAGAGGAGGGAATGGCAACCCACTCCAGTATTCTTACCTGGACAATTTCTGGACAGAGGAGACTGGCAGGCTATAGTCCTTGGGGTTGCAAAGAGTCAGAGCACGCACGCACGTACACATTATGGGCTGAACTGTACCCCGGCCCCCAAATTCATATGTTGAATCTTAAGTATCTCAGAATGTAATGTTATTTGGAGATAAACTATTTAAATAGGTAATCAAATTAAGATGAGATCTTTAGGGTGGGCCCTAATTACTCATGACTGTTGTCCTTATGAGAGGAAATTAGGATACACACAGGCGTACACACTGACCATGTAAGGACATAGTGGGAAGGCAGCCATCTGCAAGCCTCAGAGGAAACCAAACCTGTTGACACCTCAGTCTCAGACACACAGGCTCTATGAGAACTGTGAGAAAATAAATTTCTCCTTGTTGTTTAAGCCATCCAGTCTGTGCTACTTTGTTGTGTCTACTGTAACAAAAAAGCCCATATAACAGTGAAAAATTGAAATGGCAGCTGGATATCCTCTGTATTAGTTAACTGTTAATTGCTGCATAACAAATTGCCACAAACCTGGTACTGGTCTCAAACTACACACATGTATTATCTCAGTTTCTGGGGGTCAGAAGTCTAAGCAGAGCAGAGCTGGGTGTGATGCTCAGAGTCTCACAAAGTTGAAATCAAGGTGTCAGCCAGGCTGCATTAACCTGTGGAGCTCAGAGTCTTCTTTACAGCTCATTCAGGTGATTGGATTCAGTTCCTCAGGGTGGTAGGGCTGACACCCTGGGCATCTCCAGGCTCTAGAGACTGCCCCTCGCCATAGTCAGCTTACAACAGGGCTGTTCATTTCGTCATGCTCAGCAGAACTTCTCTCTCCTCCAGAAGGGACTTTAATTACGTCTTCAAAATCTCTTCACTGTTTTCATATAAAGTAACCTAATCATCACAGTGGGACTTCCCTGGTGGCCCTGCCAATGCAGGAGGCACAGGAGACATGAGTTCAATCCCTGGGTTGGGAAGATCCCCTGGAGAAAGGCACAGCAACCCACTCTAGTATTCTTGCCTGGAGAATCCCATGGACAGAGGAGCCTGGCGGACTACAATCCATGGGGTCACAAAGAGTTGGACACAACTTATCAACTAAACAGCAAGTTATCAGAGTTATCAGAGTGGTCACCAAACATATCCATAGATCTCAACTACACTCAGGGGGAAGGGAATATAGAGGGTGTGTAAACCTGAGGGGAAGAATCTTGGAGGTTATCTTAGAATTCTGCCACCAAGTCCCCTAGTGGTTTGACAAGATGAATTTAATTATATATTTATGGAAATTCAAGAAGACAGAGACCATGCAGGCAGATATGGACACGCACATACACACGCGCACACACGCCACGGAGCACCCAGCCACAGCTGAGGCCTAGGCCCAAAGGAAGCATTTGCCAGCTTGCTGTGTGCCTAATAGATGTGAAACTAAGGGGTTTTGATTGCATTAACTCTGATTAGAGAACAACTGAAAAGTATCAGGACACCTTTTTTAGCCTCTCTGCTCAATTTGCGTTTCTTTAAAACACTCTTCTGGTCCATTATTGAATGGAACTGTTATTTAAGGAGAGCCCACAGGGGGCCTGCTTAAGCCCCTGACTTACTCCAAAGAGTGAATTAAGAAACAGAATAAGGAAGAAGGTTTCTATTCCCCTGTGGCTCACAAAATAACCTAGACAAGTAGCCTAGTCGGGTGGGGTGTGTGTTTAAATATAGAAATAAATATGGACTTTCTAAGTGAAACAAACATGTTTCATCCCCTTAGAGCAGTAAGCTCTTCACTGGGCTTCAAGGAGAGATCAAGATCGAGCTCAAAGCCAGGAAAGGACCTAAAGAAGCTGTACAGATTTTCTAACATCAAGGATGACATTAGCCATAAACGACACGAACTCTATCTTGCATGCAGGACTCTGGGACGACTCTAACCCTGCCCTCTTCTGTCAAAACTTTTCAGAGCTGGCTTCTCAACACAGCTTCTATGCACTTCATTCTTACAGGAGCTCAAATTGGGAGGGTCAGAAGTAAAAAATGTCCTGGGCACTTTGGAATCAAAGGGTTCTAAAAATAGAACTATAGGATGAGTGCAAAAGATACCACTGAGCGTTCTGAAGCGTGAGAGTGATAAGAAGCAATGTCTGTTTGAGAATCAGCATGACTTCTCTGAGTCGGACAGGGGCAAAGGCAAGAGCAGTGAGACTGGTAGGAAGAGCTGCAGTAGGCAGACAAGTGGCGATGCAGCTTAGAATAGGGTGGTAGCAGAAGAGACTAAAAAAAAAAAAGGTGGAGAGAACAGAAATATATTTAAGAGGATGACCCAGCAACTAGGAAGACCCATTCAACTAGATGAAAGATGATGTCATTCACTATGCTGAGAAAGACTGAAGAAACCAGATTTTGGAGGGGTTTTTTTTTTTGAGGGGGTGGGGTGGGGGACTGTATTGCGTAAGGAGGTCCATTTGAGACATGTTACCTTTGTTCCTGAGATACTCAAGAGGAGAGATCAAGCAGGCAGGGACATATGCACCAAAGGCTCAGAATAAATTCTGTGTGATGGAGAGGTTTCATTGGCACGCTTCTACAGAAAGTGGTGCTCAAGTGTTGTCTGTCTCCCCAGCGTGCTACAACACGATAT